TGGATGGATCCGGATGGACTGGGTGGATCCGGATGGACTGGGTGGACCCGGATGGACTGGATGGATCCAGATGGATCCGGATGGACTGGATGAATCAGGATGGACTGGGATGGATCCGGATGGATGGATCGGGATGGAACCGCATGGAACCGGATGGATCCAGATGGATCCGGATGGAACCGGATGGACTGGATGGATCCGGATGGATCCGGATGGACAGGGATGGATCCGGATGGATGGATCCGGATGGACTGGAATGAATCCGGATGGCCTGGGATGGAACCCGAATGGACTGGGATGGATCCGGATGGATCCGGATGGAACCGGATGGAACCGGATGGATCCGGATGTATCCGGATGGACTGGGATGGATCCGGATGGATCAGGATGGACTGGGATGGATCCGGATGGATCCGGATGGACTGGGATGGATCCGGATTGATGGATCCGGATGGACTGGGGTGGAACCGGATGGAACCGGATGGATCCGGATGGATCTGGATGGACTGGATGGATCCGGATGGACTGGATGGATCCGGATGGATCTGGATGGACTGGATGGATCTGGATGGACTGGGATGGATCCGGATGGATGGATCCGGATGTACTGGGAAGGAACCGGATGGAACCGGATGGATCCGGATGGACCGCATGGACTGGATGGATCCGAATTGACTGGATGGATCCGGATGGACAGGATGGATCCAGATGGATGGATCCAGATGTGGATGGATCCGGATGGACTGGGATTGATCCGGATGGACTGGGATGGACTGGATGGATCCGGATGGATCCGGATGGATCCAGATGGACTGGATGGATCCAGATGAACTGGATGGATCCAGATGAACTGGATGGATCCGGATGGACTGGGATGGATCCGGATGGATCCGGATGGACTGGATGGATCCGGATGGAAAGCTGCCTATCAAGAGGTGGAGACAAATCACAATGCCTGCCTGTGCCAAAAGCTCAGATGGTGGACAGTTGGAGTGATGAAAGGCCAAGCTGTCTGCTCCTAGGTTGATTGCAGAGAGGGGTGTGGCAGTAACCTGCCTGTGATGGAAAGCAGCATCCTTGTTTAAAAAATGGCTTTTGGCACTTTGTTTAAAAGGGTATTGTAACTTTTTCTTTCAAGGGGATTACCTGTAAGATGCCCCTCTGCCCTTCTTGGGGCATGCCTTGCTTCAGGTCGCAGTGGACATGGTCAATTGTTTAACAAAGACAGGCTTCTGAAGATAGCTTGAAAAAAATAAATTTGAGAAGCTGGTTAGCAAAGGCAGCTTTTGGCGCTTTACCGAATCGTAAATATCAGTTACTCATTTATGCAGCCTGAAAAAAGAAAAGAAAGTCAACTACCGCACAGGCTCGAACCCAGGCCATTTCAGGAAGAAACCAGGCAATTTGCTGCATGTGTCATAAAACAGACGTGTGGGGAAGCTGGTTTTTGCTGATTCTAAAGTAGAAGTCACTCTTGAATACAGCCTGAATTAAATGACAACCCTCAAAGGTTGGGGAAAATATCCACACCGGGATTTGAACTCGGGTCTCCTCGGGGGAAACAACGTGCGATTTATCCAATGAGCCACTGAGACAGTTACTGTGCGGAACGGTTCCAGATGACCATAACAACCCAATGTCCTAAAGTAGCAGTCACTCTTGAATGCAGCCTGAAGAAAATG